GCATCTCAACCGATTTGAATAGTCACATATTTGAATCGATTTTCAACCAGCTCGCGGTTAATCGTTACATCCCTAATGAACACTGCAAAAAATAAAATAAAAATAACTAAATGTAACAAAATAATTTATAGAAATAAATTTAATTACAAATATTTGACTGTTGAAGTACTAAAACACTTGAACAGAAATAGCACCGACTCCAGTTTTAAATAACTTTAATTCACTTTAGAGGCAAATATTCCCAAAAGCAGATTGACGGTGAAACCTATAACGGTCTCCCAAACCAGAAGGATCAGCATAAATGTTTCTGTTTGTAAGATTTCACAGACTGGTGGAGCAGGATGATCAGGGTTAAGGCTAGAATCAGGTTTTGAGTTGTCCTGTTCTTTGTTGTTTTTCTTTCAGCCACATGAAGCTAATTACTGCTTTGGCAAAAGCTGCTTTTGCCAACAAGCACACAGACAGCCTGGCAGGCAAATAGATAGGTAAAAGGAAAGGTTTGGTCAAGAAATAAGGACTGATTTCATAAATCAATTTGAAGGAGAGGAAAAATGAAGTCCAACAACAACAACAAAAAAATACTATTCACTCACATTCACACATAAAACAGAAAAATCCAACAAGCAGTCAAACTGTTGATTACAAAGTGACATCAGGAATTTATAAAGTGACATCATTTTGCGTGCTTTTGACCAAAGGGACAGCTAATTAAACTTGACAACAACCCCTGAAGTTAAACTTACAAGTCCTGTGCCTAGCCTGCAGGGTTTTTTTTGTTGTTGTTGCAGGTTGGGGTCAGAATCAGAGCTGGTCTTCCAAGATTGCCATAAGAATTTCTAACCAATTCAGAAATACATGTAAAGACTAGTCCCATGCAGCAAACTACCTTATTTAACCAGCATTTGTTTTCAAATTTCAGAACATTGGTCTGCGCATGAAGAGACCAAGAATTAACCATGGTGCACTGATAGGAAATGATACTGACAATGATAACAAGGTTAATATTCTATGATAGAAGAGGCAAGCTCAACCATAAATAGTACAGTGGCATGAGGTTTCAGTAGAGTGAAAACAGGGAGAGAAATGACAATCCCCTGACAATCTCCTTTACCTCCCATCGTCTCTTTTGGCGCGGGCCTGAACCAGCTCGCATGGCTGTACCCAGTTGTTATCATGTAGCCCAACTCGACAGCCAGGTGTGTCCTTATCGGTGCGCCGACAACACATCCAGTAGGAGCGTCCATAAGGCAAGTCGTGGTGGTAAGGTTTAGGGTGCCAGCGGCAGAGCGACACATCTCCCCGCTCATACTGCCGCTTGCACTGCTTGCAGGGGTCATCACGGTACAGCGGGTCCTGGTTCCAACGAGAGTCTGTAGCACGCACGCCGTAGGTCTCAATCAGGGTTTTGAAGTCATGGCAGGTGCATTTGAGGGCAGCTAACGAATGGGTGGGCAGGTAGCTGAAGATATTGACCATGATGTGGTCTGGAAGCGAGAGCATGTATTGCCGTGGTTCCAAAAGCCGCTGGATCTGAAAGCGAATCTCAAGGAAGTCATGGGAGACATGACGGTAGAGGCAGCACAACGGAGGATCAGAACAATCATCCACAGTTGTCAGTGGGGAATCTGGCCTCTCTACGGTAGTCCCGACTGGCCCATTGTTGTTTGCATAGTCTAAAGACCGTATCCCACTGTTTACCGCTGAGCAACTCTCATCTTCAGTAGCTGGTGACTGCAGAAAAAACAGCTGGCCAGGAGGCGGATCCTCTGAGGCATCAGTTAAATTAGCTCCATTGGGCATAGCAAAACATACAGTCTCTTCTTGAACATTCTCTGTGCTGTCCTTCCCATAGAAGACACATTGGTCTACTGCACCCGTGACCACAACCTCAACGTGGAAGCCAGTCACCAGCTCTCGAGCAACTGCTGCCTTCTCTCCTGAGGCAGGGTCTTGGTTAGGATCTGGCGTTGTGGAGGAAGGCCTGTCAGTGATACCTTCTCCAAGGGGATCAGCCTTTGGTGAGCTGGCCAGGAGGGCACCTGGATCTCGAGATGAGGGACTGACCAACTGGTAGAGGTCGCAAGTGATCTTTTCTTTGCTTCTGGTTCCTGCTTGCCCCCCTCCAACTCCACAACTCATGAACATGCATTTGGGCCGGCCAACAGGCTCAGACTGGGTGCGAGGGTCCAGACTTGACACCCGGAAAGCAATCCGTACTTCCCCTCGTCCATGA